CAGGACTGTCAAAACCTGTCATTTATTTTACTAGGAAAAAAGATTCATATCTGGTTTTTTTTTGTTTTAAGGTAGTTTATTGGTAATAAAACATTGAGCAAAGCTCATAGACATCAAATTTTGACAGCTGTCAAAATATGAAACCTGTGTATAAAGTTTTTTTATGTTTCATAATATATAGGCATAACTTGAATAATTTTTTTTTCAATTAAAGCTAATGTCACATTCTGACAGCTGTAAAAATTAGATGTCTATGAGCTTTGTTTAATGTTTTATCACCAATGAACTACCTTGAAACGAAAAAGAGCCAAATTGGAATTTTTTTTTACTAGAACAAATGACAGGTTTTGAAAGTCTGTAATTTTTTTTTTCAATTTTTGAACTCAGAATTTACATAGGTTGAAACTGTCAAATGACACATCATGAAATATTAAAAACTGAAAAATATGAGTGCTGCCGTTTGGCAGGGTTTTGACAGATGTCAAAATGGTTGACAGTTTTCGATTTTCCTTGATCGACTTATTAGGAATCGATACTTGCTTCATCAAAATCTGCCATAGTTACCCTACTTTTGAATATTATGGCGTTTCCGATTGGTAGATCTAGTGCGAAACTAGTGCAATTTTTTTAATTTCTGTCTTTTTCTTCTATAGATCGAATAAAAGGATGCAAATACACTCAGTGCGCACTAAAACTACCAATCGGAAACGCCATTAGATTCCAATATTTGACAGCTGATACCGCCTCACCTGTCATGTATACAAGTTTGCGCCCATGATAAAAAATGTTGCTTACGGCATTTCTAATAATATATTTAAATTTCATCCAAATATCACGGGTAACCAATTTCCATTTAAATATTGCGGGGTCCTTTGTTAAATGTCGAGGAAACGCTTTTAAAGTTTCCAGAGCTTTTGTAACTCAGAATGACAGCAATAAACTATACATTTTCTGACGAATTCAATTTTTATGAAAATTCCCTAATACGTATAGCTTACCTTCAGTTTGCTTTTTAAACTCATTTTGAAATTTTGCCCCAGGCGCGTGTCAATCGGCCCCGCAGACCCCGCCACGCGGGGAAGCCACCATACTCTAAGAAAAAGTAATACCTATTTATATCAAACAAACTCCAAAAATACAAATATGCACATTTAAACATTTCAAATCCATATTTAATTTGTCACATTTCTTCCGAACATAAAAAATGTGAACGCCCAAACAATTGTCAACCCTGGATGGTCGAAACCTCAGTGATTCCCATAGGTTATTCCCCGTTTTAATGGGAATTTCCGGTTATTAGCGAGTCTTTGTTGTTTCACTTGTTACGTTTGAGTTTTGAGTTGATATTTAAAATATTAAAATGCGCCCAAATATCTGAGTGGGGCTCAAAAAAGAAAACTAGTTGAAAAAAAGGAGGAGGAGAAGAAGATTGCCAAAATTGATACGTTTTTTCAAAAAAAAGTTATATCAACTTCTGAAACGCCGTCAACATCCGCAACCTCATCATCAAAAACAGAAGTGTATGATGATGAAACTATCCTACCAGACATTGAAGATGCAAATATTCTCGAAAACGAAGATAATGCATATTTAATTCCATATCTTTGTACTTATTAGTTAAATATTTGTTGTATGTTTTCCTTGTATTAGAAGAACATTTTTTTAGAACTTTTCAATCATCCCTCCTATATTATAATAACATATTAGTTATTTATGTATCAAGGGTACTAAGTAGATGATTATGCCCCGAGGGCGACAGTCTTACAAAGCCGAGGGCCTCTGGCCCGAGGGTTCGTAAGTTGCCCGAGGGTATATATCTATTAGTACCCGTGGTGCATACAAACTTTTATGTCATGCCTGCGCGGGCCATAATGTGTACTTTATGCCCGCGCGGGCCATAATGTGTACTTTATGCCCGCACGGGCATAAAGTAATGAATTATATAGATGGTATCTAAGGTATAAAAACACAATAATGTACTGGTATGACATAAAATAATTTATGTCATACCAGTACATTATTGTCTTTTTATACCTTAGATACCATCTACATAATTCATCACTCTATGCCCGTGCGGGCATAAAGTACACATTCTGGCCCGCGCGGGCATAATGTACCATTCTAAACATCAGGTTGACAATTACGCCGCAACTGACGTCGTTTCCGTGTATGCAAAGTTGCATCGATTTCAAATAAAGTCCTCCTGGTATGACATAAAAGTTTGTATGCACCACAGGTACGAATAAATATATACCCTCGGGCGACTTACGAACCCTCGGGCCAGAGGCCCTCGGCTTTGTAAGGCTGTCGCCCTCAGGGCATAATCATCTACTTAGTACCCTTGATACATAAATAACTATTATAGAAATAAATTTAGTTTCAAAAATTCGCTGTTTTTTAACTATAGGTATATAATGATATTGTGTATAAATATTTACTATAATGGGTTATTTTTGGAAAATATAATAGTGACATAGGACACTTGACACGCTACTGTTTTGCCCTCTTCAAAAGTTTTTTGGGCACAGACTCTTCAATTATGTCATTGCTGCCCTAGGGCTAAGCTTTATTTTTCAATTAGGTAAATATTAGGTGACATAATAGTTATTTATGCACCTAGGTCAAAAAGTACAGTTTTAACGCCCGCAGCGTGTGTCCCCGCCCGCAGCGTATGTAACATACACGCTGAGGGCGTTAAAGCTGTTTTTGATCGAGGTGCACATTAGATTTTATGCACGTTTTCATTCAATGTTTTCATTTTGATATTTGAAAAATTATATATTTTTAATTTTGTAATGACATCGATCAAAAATATTTCAAAATAAATATTTTCATCTTCACCGCATGTCGTAAGTTTTTGTTTGTCAAATGATCAAGAAAGCAGTTGTTGAAAAAAATATCACGTAACTATTATAGCAACCCAGAACAATACAAACAAATAATTATTCTACTCTGTGCAGTGTAAAATGTATAGTATTCTTATGATGGTAGTCTGACGTCTGAAAATGGAGCAAAATAGCCTCTTCAAGTTTATTATTGAGGCAGTTGAAGAGGCCAAGGAAGATGTATTCCTTTCGAAGTCCAAAAGACTCTATGAAAAAACATATAAGGACTTTATTTCCTGGTGTGCTTACCATAGGTTAATGAGCAGCAGTACTTTGTAGGAGAAACTCTCCTGGCATATACATTATAATATGAAAAATGCCAAAAAAAAATCAGCCATCCACCCTATGGAGCTTTCGTTCAACGTTAAGGCAACAGTTCTTTCGTGTTTTTCTGTGGAAAAAAGCCGGTCTTAAAAGTTAAAAACTGTAAAAATTGTATTTTCAATTTCAAAGTAGAATTTTATTATTATTGCTTATTTCATTATTCTTATTAATTGAAAGCTTGAGGCTTGTTTTGTTGAACAAAGTTGGTATTTTTTGGACTAAGCGATAGAAATGCAAAAAAGTTTTTAAAACAAATGACGAATTTTTTGCTTATTTTTGAAATTTTGGAACTTTCAGGCCCGCGGGCATAAAAGGCGCCCTAGGGCGTAAAAGTACTACTTCACGCCTTTAAATGCGGGCGTAAAAGTGCACTTTTACGGCCGTTCGTGCATAAATAGTTATTTATTTTCTACTTTACTATTATAGATCCATAATACCTAGGAAACGAAATACGTTAACACACCTATAACAACCTGATCCATAACGCCCGCTTATAATACCTTAAGGTGTTTTTGTTTTTGTTGTTCTATTAATTTGCACTTTACCCTAGGCAGCCACTAAATGTCTGACCGAAAATAATTTTCGGTCTAGCCAGGATTCGAACCCGGTCTACCATCAACGTTTCCCATGTAGTCCAGCGCGTTAACCCACAGGACCACCACCGTTGCCTTGCCTTATGAGATGTTTATAGATATATCAATTTATTTCTTTTCTATGTACAGGTCGCAGGTACAGGTACAGGTCACAGGTATAGGTACATGTCAAAATACAAATCAATATTCTGTCGCACAAGTTTAACTGATTTTGTTAATAATAAATTGATGAAAAAATATTGGGCTGAGTAGAAAATAAAGCATTGTATGCACCACGGGGATTTCAAAATTATAATGCCCTTCAGGCGAAATATATCCCTCGGGCCATAGGCCCTCGGGCTAGTTTCGCCTTCGGGCATTATAATCTACATAATCCCCTTGGTACATAAATAGCTATTATGTACCAAGGCTTGTAAGTGTTACTTTTTTGGCCGAGGATGCAGTTTGCAAGCCGAGGCCCGTAGGGCCGAGGTTTGCAAGCATTTGAGGCCAAAAACGTACACGCTACAAGTCGAGGTGCATATGATATTTTTTGTGCTACCGTACATTCAAGATAATAAATATCATGAATTTGATGGTGCACCTATTTGCTTTGTTCGCGAAGAAGATCCCAAACTGATCCTGAATGCTAATATAAGGAAAGAATCACATCATGAAAAGCCATTGATATGAAACAATATTAATGGCTTTTTACGGTGTGATTCTTACTTTAGCGTTCAGGGTTAGTTTGGGATCGTCTTCGCAAATAAAGCTATTATTTTAACTGGTGTCCAGTTTGTTGTATTATTGTTTAAATTGACCTACTAAAGCTGGATTTATAGTGTCAGTATCAGTAACAGTAGCAGTAACAGTAAAATATTGAAACACGGCCTGCCGTAAAGCCATTTATAATTCACTTAACAAACTTAACAGTAAAACTTAAGAAATGGTTATTTTCATATCTGTTCTTAAGTTTTAAGTTTTACTGTTACTGTTACTGTTACTGATACTGACACTATAAATCCAGCTTAATTCCATGCACCCTATGCTAGCAACCATTACAATCAAAATTGTGAACAAATTTGGCGTTGTCAACATATTCGTTAAATTGTCTTTTTTTTTAATTGCCAGGCAACGAAATTCTTATTAAAATGTCAAGTTTATTTTGACAAAAAAAAAGTTCAAGTCATAGTCAAGTGTAATTATTATTAGTGAAAAAATGTGCGAGAACGTAGAAACCGGCGTAGAAGAAGCAGCAGCGAATGCTTGTGCTTTATTGCTGCCCGAAAAATCGAAAGAGAGGTACACATTTATATATTCCAAGTTTAAAGAGTGGCAAGCGGTGAAGCATTTGAATATTGTTGATGAAAATGCACTTTTGGCATATTTCTTTGAGCGTTCCCAACATTTGAAGAGTCCAGCAAGTTTGTGGAGTGAATACTCTATGCTCAAGACAACATTATCCATTAATGACAGTATAGATTCAAAAAAGTAACTTTTTTGACCCGGTCAAAAAAGTGTTGATATGAAAGGTGAAAATTGCTTTCATATCTCTGTCAGAATAATGTGACAAAAACACTCGACTTCTTAAATAAAAAACCCAAAACAAATTAAGGATACTATTTTATTGAAACAAATAGAAAATACCTATGGCCATTTGGACCCACTATTTTAAGGTAGCCTAAGCGATAAGTATTCCTTAAAGTGACATTTTTCCATCTAAAACTGTCATTTTAAAAGATACCTACTTATCGCTAAGGGTTCCTTAAAATGGTCAGTGCAAATGGCCATTAGACGTCCAAAAGTTGAAATTAGCATAAACAGATAGGTACCTACCTAGTAATATAAAAATGCGATACTTCATGGTTATTTACTTTTTAATTTTGAAAGTAAAAGAAACATTTGTACAATTAGTTACATTTAACATAGGCATACTTTCCTGTATTGAAGTCGAAGAACTGAAAATATTAGAATCCTTACTACTAAAGGAATCCTCGACTATCATAGAGGAACTTGTGCTGGGAGTTGCGGATTCAAATCTTATATTCTCGCTGCTACCTAGAATTCTTCTGGCCGTATCTACTTTATTTGCACTTGAGTCGGCCACATAACTTTCCGCGACTGTGGAAGATCGCCACCCTCCGTGCCTTTTTAAAGCGAGAACATCCGCACCCGTATCTGCCAAAAGTGTTGCCGAAGTTCTTCGAAATGAGTGTCCCGTGTAAGACTCAGGATTGTCCAAATTCAAGTACTTGGCAATATTATAAGGTACTTTTCCAAGGGTATTTTTACCAGCAACTTGATTGACACATTTCCCTACCTCATACCTCAAAAAGAGTCGTCTATGATCAGTGTTCTTGGGCCTTAAGTTAACATATTTTCTGAATATACCAAGGCAATCAATATTATTTTCAGTATCATTGATAATTGTAAACGAACGTCTGGTTTTATTCTTGCTATCTGGAATTTTTATTATTATCACATCCCTCTTATCTTCAATGTCACTTAATGTCATCTTGAGCAATTCGTCTTTACGGCATGCTGCAGCAACGCCAATGAGTGCAACTACCTACAAAATAAAGACCACTGTTTTATGGAATAGTTCTAAAGCCATATTCATACCTTCATCAACAAATATTGACTGTCTGGTGCCTCCTTCAAAAATGTCTTTATTTCCTGCCTTGAAAACACATTTGATTTTTTGGGATTATAACCATCGTTTCTCCTTTTCAAAAAAGCTCTCAATTTTGGAAATTTAGAAATATCTATACTGTCATTAGGGTTGCCACCTGTCCGGTTTTCACCCGGACTGTCCGGTTTTTTTAAGGTTTGTCCGGTGTCCGGACGCATGATGAAAATGTCCGGGAATATCTGGATTACATAATTAATAATAATTAATACTTGATATAAAATTTATAAAGGCGATTGCCGAACGCCTTAGGCTGTACCCAACTAATTTCTGAACGTTCCTACTTCTTCAATGACGGGTGTGTCACGAACGTCTCCGGTTTCCAATTAGAGACGGAAAAGTGGACTTTTTCTGCCTTGGCTGGTTTCCTCGCTTCGCTTTCGGCTATGGAACACTAGTCGCGGCATTAAATATTGTGCTTTTCTGCCCTGCCTAATAAAACAAATATTTATCTATGTATTGTGTCGTTCTCCCTGTTCACTTACAAGGTAACAAGTGTCTCTGTTTTTTTTTTTTTTTTCAAATTTTAAAAAAGAGCGTAACTACAAGGGGTGGTGTTTGAAATTGAGAAGATACCTTTTTAATTTTTTTCCTAAAAATTCATTTTAACAGATATGAGTGTAAATTATGCTACAAAAAAAAGTTAGCTTCGATTATGTACGGGTTTTCGGAAATCAAAAGGTGGCAACCCTAACTGTCATTAATGGATAATGTTGTCTTGAGCATAGAGTATTCACTCCACAAACTTGCTGGACTCTTCAAATGTTGGGAACGCTCAAAGAAATATGCCAAAAGTGCATTTTCATCAACAATATTCAAATGCTTCACCGCTTGCCACTCTTTAAACTTGGAATATAATATAAATGTGTACCTCTCTTTCGATTGTTCGGGCAGCAATAAAGCACAAGCATTCGCTGCTGCTTCTTCTACGCCGGTTTCTACGTTCTCGCACATTTTTTCACTAATAATAATTACACTTGACTATGACTTGAACTTTTTTTTTGTCAAAATAAACTTGACACTTGACATTTCAATAAGAATTTCGTTGCCTGGCAATTAAAAAAAAAAGACAATTTAACGAATACGTTGACAACGCCAAATTTGTTCACAATTTTGATTGTAATGGTTGCTAGCATAGGGTGCATGGAATTAGTAGGTCAATTTAAACAATAATACAACAAACTGGACACCAGTTAAAATAATAGCTTTATTTGCGAAGACGATCCCAAACTAACCCTGAACGCTAAAGTAAGAATCACACCATAAAAAGCCATTAATATTGTTTCATATCAATGGCTTTGCATGATGTTCCTTATATTAGCCTTCAGGATCAGTTTGGGATCTTCTTCGCGAACAAAGCAAATAGGTGCACCATCAAATTCATGATATTTATTATCTATAATGTACGGTAGCACAAAAAATATCATATGCACCTCGACTTGTAGCGTGTACTTTTTTGGCCTCAAATGCTTGAAAACCTCGGCCCTACGGGCCTCGGCTTGCAAACTGCATCCTCGGCCAAAAAAGTAACACTTACAAGCCTTGGTACATAAATAACTATTGCGTCTTTGTTGGTTCATTAACATTGCAGGTTTAACAAGGAAAACCGACACAAAATACATTTTTGTCGTAGTTGCTTTAAAATAAATTTCAAAGGACCACGCACAGATCTTATGAGAAAAAATAAATTTCACGTTTGTCATGAAATTGAAATATGTTATGCTTCTCGACCTCCTGAACGTAAGTTCTTGTAGGCTCAAAAAGATCCTATGATTAGTTTCGGAGATACACGGCCGGGTTAACATACAAAATTTTGACAAAAAATAGACATTTCAAAATATGTTGTGACTTCATAAGACTTTTTTTAAATTAAAAATGCCACAAAGGTGTCTTGTAGTTGATTTTAGAAGGCGTTTCAACAAGAATGATGTCAGGTTGTTTTCAGTGCCCAACCTTTCAAATATTTCCAATTAAAACGTAGAAATTATTCAGTACCACTGTTCCTGCATCTTAAATAAAGCCATACTCGAAATACTTGTAAGAATCTCAGCTTTTATAGGCCCTCATCTGCTCATTGCTGTAAAAACTACACTTTATTTTTTCCCAAGATAGATTTTGACATTGAAAACTTTGAAACATAAACAATAACGCTTGACCCTGATTGGTGGCAAAATGAGGTGTTTCTGCAGGTGGACATCAGTTTTACAATAGCGACCAATAAGCGGCATTGACGGCATTGTTTATGTTTCAAAGTTGACAATGCCAAAATCTATCTTGGAAAAAAATAAGCTGTAGGTCAAAATGTAAACAAATGTCAAAAAGACATTTTTTCAAACTTATCGTTCGCCCACATCCCGATTTTCCTGCATTTAAGTCTTCAAATATTCACTCTGCATCTCGAAATAGATATTTATTTTATTAGGAGTAGGGGTGAGTGGAGCAAAGCGGAATGATAATTCGTTTTTTGTAGTTGACGATCTTAATATTTTAAAAGAAGGCGTAAAAATGATGTCAATCGAAAGTTTGGACTGTTATTTAAAAAGGACATTGATATAATGTATCTGAGGTGAAGGTTTTTTATTAAAAAAAAAAAAGAGAAAATCATTCCACTTTGCCCCTTCGGTGGGGTGAAGTGAAAAATCATACGGGGCAAAGTGGAATGGAAAATTTTATTCATCAAAGTCACCTATAAAAGCATTCTTAGGCGTTCAAAAAAATTAACAAGATATTTTTTTCCAACCCCAAACTTTTTCTTGAAGCTTCCTTAGAAGCGCAGTTTTTCTTAGCTCTTCGAAACAACGTCATTCGTGACACATTGTAGGGTAGGTGAGAGCTGCCTACTCATAGCTCAAACGATTTGCTCTAACTGCCCCAATAGCCCTAACCATATCTTCCTCATCCCAAACATGTTATGTGGATTCACGGACATAGGTCCTAACTAATTTTGTCGGACCTCCAAAAAAATAGGAATAAAAAATAAAAATCATTCAAATGCACCTATTTTAAATATTGTTTTTCTAATGGGGCAAAGTGGAATGCATTCCACTTTGCCCCGTTTGATATTTTCCACTTTGCCCCATTTGTAGTCTTTTCAGTAAATGTTTTATTTTAGAAACACCTGTGATTCGAGCCATCTGTTTAATTTACTACAGTTAGTTATATGACCTAACTTGAAAATAGCGACAACAGTTCTCATTCAGATATCACCATCCTGATTTTATCCCAAATTTATCACCTCAAAATATAAACAAATATTCACCGGTTTTACACAACTTCAAATACCGAAACAACGCGTGTGCGCAGTGGCCACAGTTTGATGTTCTGAAATAAACTGCTAATAGACCGCATGTTTTGGACAGTGGCGTATTAATGCGACGTTGCCATATGTTGAATTCCACTTTGCCCCTCATTCCACTTTGCCCCTCATTCGACTTTGCCCCACTCTCCCCTATAAGTTATACTTATATGACGCGCATGGAAGTTTGAACGCCGAGCGTAGCGAGGCGAATCAAATCCATGCAAGTCACATTATGAAGAATACTTATAATCCGAATGAAATAGAATATTTTATTTTCAAACAATCTTTATTTCGAATACTTAGTGCAGAATTTTTAATTTAAATTATGATATTCATATTTTGAAGAATCACCTTTATAAGCACCTATATCTGTATGTACAGGGTGGTCCAAATTGGACACTTTCTTATGGAAACACCCTTTATTTTTAGAGATAGAAAAAAATGGACCCCCTACTCTGAGGCTCAAATTTCATGAAATTTTGATTGGTGCAAACCGCATTTTGATATC